GACCTATTTAAAGAAATGCATACTAACACAGCAATATGGGATGGAGAGACACGACTTTGTTCGAAAGTCGTGAAAGTTTTTACATTAGATTGCAAGCGTTTGAATTTATTTCTTTTTAAATTTATTTTAGAATATTCTACCAAACGTTTTGTTTGATATTTTACAAAAAAAAATGTATGACATTGGATTTTGTACGAGAAAGATTAATGAGTTTCGCAAATTTTTGCAATTGAGCGTAATAATTTTGAAAGTCTATGGTCAAAACAAGAAGATTTTGTAAATGATGATGTCTCCAAACCCAATACGAGGCAACAATTCCGAGATAGCGCCTTTGATCAACTTGTTAAGCTATATGGATAACAATTTGACATGGTAAAGGTAAAAACAGAATTGACACATTGACAGTTCTTTATAATGATCTAGACTATACTGAAAAAAATGCACAACAATTGTATAAATATTTAAAACCTTCAGAGCTTGATAATGCATTGCTGGAAGGTTTTAAATAGGCAAACCTATTTTTAACAATTCCGGCTACAAGTGCATCTGTTGAAAGAAGTTTTTCAGCAATGAAACGGATTAAAACATAGCAAAGAAAAAAGTGTACATTTTAAAAAAAAATTTCAAAATTTTACATCTTGTTCTCAAAAAATCGACATTCTACAAAGCCAAATCCGCAGATATATGGAAACAGCTTAGAATATGTTGATCATATAAAATTTTTAGGTATGTTTTTTGATAACAAACTCTCTTGGAAAATGCACATTATGTACGCCAAGAAAACTTGCCAAACTGGTCTGAATTTATTGCGAACTCTGTTTAACAACAATTGGGGTTCAGATTTTAAAAGCCTTATTAACATTTACAAATCATTTCTACGATCAAAGATTGATTACGGATCAATAGTTTACGCTTCTGCCAAGGAAACATTACTTGCTCAGCTCGACACTATACAGAATACAGGATTAAAAATAGCCACAGGAGCTTTTTGTACCAGCCCAATTGAAAGTTTACAATGTTTAACTGGCGAACCACCTTTGAAATTCAGGAGAATGTATCTATTGTTAGCTTTGCTTCAAATATTCAATCGATAAAGTCACATTCCGAACTTCATAACACAATTGGGGACCGTTTTAAAGATATTTATAGTAAAAAAACTCGAACAGATCCTCCATTCTACGAGAGAATTCGAAGGTTGTTATCCTTTTATAGCATTAAATTTCCAAACTTCTTTGATAAGTCGATTACAGCTGCATTTCCACCATGGACAATAACCCCTTTACAATGCGATCTAACTCTTACCAAATACAACAAATTTAAAACTCCTCACAAATTAATAAACCAAGAATCATTTAATAAACTGTCCTGTTTTTCTGATCATTATCACATCTATACAGATGCATCCAAATCCACTGATGGTGTAGGATCAGCAATCGTCACTCCAAATAACACATTGCAATTCAAACTATCACCTACTAGCAGTATTCTCTCTGGAGAACTGTACTCGATTCTACAAGCATTAATTCATATAAACAACCACAACATCTCAAAAACCCTGATAATTACTGACTCTCTTAGTGCATTACATTCAATAAAACAGCTCTTATCAATTACAGCAACATCAATTACATCTTATAAACCAGGCAAAACAGCAAATTCGTTTCACCTGGGTTCCATCACACTGGTTTGGAAGGCAATGAAAAAGCGGATCATTACGCTCGTGAAGCAACACAAAGTGCATCATCAATAGCAGTGAATACAGTGTCTGTGCTGGATTTTAAATCACTCGTAAAAAAGAAAGTGCTAAGTGAATGGGGAAATAAATGGCAACAATCAAAATCATTTCTAAACACTATTAAGCCTGCAATACATTCATGGTGTGAAATAAACATTGACTGCATAAACATGGGTATTCGTTAAAATGACTCGATTGCGTATAGGACACAACAATCTAACTCATGGTTATATTATCGCTAAATCAAATCGCCCTATATGTGATCTTTGTAACTATAATATATCCATACCACATATTTTGGTAGATTGTCCCAAATTTATTAATGAAAGAAACAAACATTCAATACCTGGAAAGATTAAAGATGTTTTAGGAGATAATTGTAATCCGAAAAACCTCTTTAATTATCTAAAAGATATTAATATTTTAAACAAGTTGTAAATGAGTTTAATTTACTTATATTAATATGTATAAACAGGTTTTACTTTTACTAATAACACCATATTGTGAAATTAATCTTCACTTAAATATTGTACTACAAACCTACCCACTTAATTGTAATGTACAACTGTACAAATCCTGACTGTTTGTAATTTAATTAATTGTATTTTGTAATTGTAATTAATTGTATTGTGTATTATGTCCTCCCGCAACTCCAAGTAGTTGATGCGGTCAATTAAGAAAAAAAACTCACCGATTTTTTTAAAAAATCACATATTTTGACGTGAGAATTTTCGATTGAAATTTACAGTGTTTTTTCAATATCAAATCAAAATAAAAATAAATATTTTAAATAAAAAAAAATACAGTATCTTTGGGACATAAAAAGGACATACCTAAATTTCGTGGAAAAAAATAAATTAGAAACAATCCGACATAAATATACCTACATATAAGCCATAACCATAAGTGTATAAATATATTACCTTATATTATAGGCCAGGGAAATAAGCAAAAAAAGTATCCTGTTTTTGACACTCGTCCGGCCAGGTAAACGACAGTTGTTTTGAGTAGTGTGGACCTCTGTAACAAAAACCTATATGTTCCCTCGATTTTTTGGACTAAATTAGTTATTAACAAATTAAGTTCAAAAAACGGAAAATTTTTGCTTTTTTCGTCTATCAGCAAAAAGTGAAGCAATTTAAACAAATTGTAGAAGAGAGGAAACTTATAATTTATATAAAAACCTTCAAAATGGCATTCTCAAAATGTTTCTATCCTTATTTGTTGTTTAGAAAGTTGCAAAAAGCGTCAAAAATTTCGGTTTTTTATAAATGTTAATAACTTTTTTAAGTACTTTTCGATAGTGATATAAAATACAGGGTGTTCTATTTAAAATTACCAAGAAAATATTGTACTTGCATTTTGACTTACCATGTATTTGATTTAACGAATATTATGAAAACGAATATGTTTTATAATTTTTAACAATTACTAAAAAACTATGTTTGCAATAGATCAATGGTCCTATACTCCTTTTTAATTATACAGGGAGTTTAACTTGATACGATTTTCAGGTAATATTGGTTATATCTTTTTAAATACCCGGTATAACATAATAAAACTTTACATTGTTGTGATGTGGAAGTGAAGCAGATTTCAAATTTAAAATAAAATACAGGGTGTTTTATTTAAAAAACATAAGTTTGGTCTGCCACCATCTTATAGAACACCCTGTAAGATTGTAACTAATTTTAAAATGTCGAGTTTAAAGCTGTCTACAAGTCTTGTCAATAACTTTTTTTTGTAATTTTTACTAAAACAGATCTATTGAGCTTCCTTATCCTAATCAATCACCCAGACGAGTTATCAGAAAAAATTTCCAACCAAATTTTCTACCAAGTAACCAAAAACAAAATTTGATTAATTTGTTAACGTTCTGTATTCTGAGAAAGATTTCCGAAGTAGAAATCGAAACGTCAAAAATAAACTTATTATAAACTTAAATTGTGGCTTATTCCCCAAAGTAGTTCTATTTTACATTCAAACTTAACTTAAATACTACTAAAAAAATTTTAAAAAATTATTTTTAAACAAATTAGGTTGTTTATTTGACAATTTATTTATTGAAATAATGCATATTCGTAATGTACGCAAAAAGTACATATTTATACAAGTTCAAGAAGAAACGTTGAAATACATAAAAAAGGAACAGAGATACAGTTAACACCGCCTTCCTCCTCCCTTCAGCTCCCGAGAGTTTCAAAGCCAAACGATTTTATAAACATTTTGAAACTTTGTGGAGGATTCCATTAAACGGCAATAATTTTAAAATTTACTACTTTAAAACTATAATGTATATTCTTTTAAATAGCGCTAATAAGATTTCTTAATTGTTATAAACAAAGGTGCTATGAATTAAATAAAAAAATAGAAAAAGAATTAAAAAAAATAACTTTGTATCAAAGTTAGCTTTGGTACAAAGCTAACTTTGTACCAAATTATTTTAGGACAAACTTTTTTTTTTTAAATTTGTGAAAAAATTCAAGCTTTTTAAATATGTAAAAATAATATTTTTACAGTCAATGGTTAAAAAGTTATTCTAATTGTTTATAAGCAAAAAATCGACATGTTTTTGCAAAATTATTTTGCAATATTTAAAATTAATTTTCCTAATTTTTTTTTAATGTAAATAATAAAACAAGTCTTCTTCTACCAGAAGCAACACTTTCAAAAACTGTATAAATTTCTGACTTATATTGTTGCAAAAAATGTTAATTTGGGATAAACAAATAAAATAACTTTTAAACTATTGGATTGATCACTGTGAAATTTTAACCCTATTTTAAGCACTACAAGACACATCATTCCATGAAATATAAATATTATAAGTTTATTTTCAAAAAAGTTATTAACATTTATAAAAAACCGAAATTTTTGACTTATTTTGCAACTTTCTAAGCAACAAATAAGGATAGAAACATTTTGAGAACGCCATTTTGAAGGTTTTTATATAACTTATAAGTTTCCTCTCTTCTAAAATTTGTTTAAATTGCTTCACTTTTTGCTGATAGACCAAAAAAGGAAAAATTTTCCGTTTTTTGAACTTAATTTGTTAATAACTAATTTAGTCCAAAAAATCGACTGCAGGAAACATATAGGTATTTGTTACAGAGGTCCACACTACTCAAAACAACTGTCGTTTGCCTGGCCGGACGAGTGTCATGAAAAAATGCTTATTTCCCTGGGCTATTACCTTACCCCACATGTGTAATCCCACATAAACCTACATAATAAATATACCTATAACTGAAAGAAACAATTTAAATACGAGTTATGGTTTTTATTTTAATAAATAAGAAATTATTTAATGCAACAAATTGCAGAAAATAATCTAAAAAATTTGCTAATATGTGACTGTTATAGCAATTCTTCATCAGAAATCTCATTGAGCGTTGAAATAACACACCTCATTGCATTATACGCCTTTTCACCATCATTAGAGCCAGTTGTTCCTTTACATTTATCAACTATTTTAAGACTGCCCGGTTTGTAGTAATCGCTCAAAAAATTGCTAATATTTTCGTATAAAATATTGCCATTTTCGTCTTGATAACCCTGCTTTTTATAACTGCATGAGAGGAAATCCTTATACTTTGGATCTTCTGAATGGCCTAAATTGGCCATGGCTTGCTCAACAACAGATCTATCCAGTTTGATTTCCTTCATACAAGAAAGTCCTATTATCTCACGGTGTTTCATATCTTCACGTTTTTCGGCCTCCGTTTTTCTTGCTGGTGGAGCTGCCTACAAAAATCAACGGTTACTAAAATAATCACTTGTTACACTATTACAAACAAAACAACAAAAAAGAAACAGGGAAGAGAATTACTCTTCAAAAATGGAGCCACTTTGAGCCACACATCCGTGTGACTCAAAGAAAAATGAATGTTGTGCGTTTCTCTAAGAGAGAAGATCCCAAACCGCCAATTACGACAAAGAGTAGGAGTGGCAGATGCTGTAGAGGGAAAAGCAATACAGAAATGGAACTGGGCAAGTCACGTGGCTATAATGACATATAACAGATGGGCAAAGCAGATACTGGAATGGAGACCGAAAAAGAAGGCAAAAAACTGGAACAAGAGGCACAAAATCGGAACAGGTGGAAAATTATGAGGGAGATTAATTCACAGCAACTAGAATAAACAGAAATGAAAATACTACTTAAATAGCTGGAAGGGCATATTGAGATAGAAAAAGCAGCGAAAACATGACACATGTGCAAGGTATAAATTCTTGGAAGTAGAAAACAAGAGAGAATGGAGGGCGATTGGTCAGAATTAATCGGGATAAATCACCACGAGGAAATCGGATTTTGGACCGTTAACAAAAGAGGTAGATCGATGACTTAAACAGGGAGAGGGTAGGTACTTAAAGATAAAATGAGTAAATTGCTTAACCTTCCGCTGATATGCTGATATGTCTCTCTCATCGACTGATTCAAATTTTCACAGTTTAACCCCGCTAATTATTATTTCAATCTGCACTTCATACTACCCTTCGAACGTGCCTGTGTCTTTTCATTCGTAGTTTAGCAAGTGGTCAGTGTGTACCGTTTACAAGGAATTTTAAATATTACATACGATTTGGTCCCACAAACCGACGTTATAGTTGCCATTACATTTTGAGGTAAGACTGATTTGTTTGATTTTTTTTACAGTACTGATTTATAATATATTTTAGGGCATAAGTTTAAAATGAATTACGAGAGGGAACAAAAATGGCTGTTGCGGCTTCATGGGGACGTTTTAACTGATTCGTCTGAAGTTTGATAGACGACCATATTATAGAAACTATTGAGGATACCTATAGACTTGGAAAAGGAATTTGAAAATAAGCAAAACTTACTTATTCTTCAAGAAATGTTATTCGAACAAGCTGCAAAAATACTAACTAAACTAAACTAAAAACTACCAGTTCGTGAAAATATCCTGTATCAGCACGGAATGTTCGAACACGCGCTGAGAATATTTACACCCATTTACCTGGAGCTAAGGGAGATATAAGGCATAAAAATAAAGCTTCAGAAATTTGCGAATGCTTTTTCTCTCCAAGCATATTGGAAAAAATTATTACTTACACCAACAAATTTATAGAAGTGCAAGACTATGACATGACATTTCGCAAAATCGTTCTTTTAGACCAACTGATTTATTAAAAATAAAAGCATTATTGAGCCTTACATATATTTCTGGTGCTAGTAAACATAACCTGAGAGACGCTGAACATTTATTTAGGACAGAAGGAATGGCTATGGACATAGTCAGACTTACTATGTCCCGGATACGATTTCAGTTTTTGTTGAAACATATTTGTTTTAATGATAAAGCTACCAGGCAAGACAGTACAAGTCGACAAATTACCTCCAATTAGGGATATTTACGATGAGTTTGTATCCAATTTGTCCCAATATTACAATATATCAGCATATGCAACGATTGACGAAAAACTCAAAGCATTTCGTGGTAAGTGTCCTCTGATGGACGTTGCTTTTGATGTGTTGTAGATGATGAAATCAAGAAAAAGAACAACGGAAAGGGACAAATGAAACAAGGAGTCACTAAAAAAGGCATTTGAATTACAACCCTAAGAGCAATGGATAGGGCCCTGCTAGGGATTAGTGTGAGAGACAGGATTCGAAATATTCACATTCGTGAAAGAACAAAGATAACTGATGTCGCAGAACGTATAGCAAAGCTCAAGTAGCAATGGGTCGGACATGTTGCCCGAGATAATCCTGAAAAATGGACATAGAGATTAAAAGACTGGGGACCAAGATAGAATAGGCGAGGAGTAGGCAAACCACAGAAGAGGTTGGTAGGTGATATCAAACAAGTCACGGACAAGCAGTGGACGGGAATTGTCAAAAGTAGAAATTAATGGAAGCAAATGGAAGAGTCCTATGTGCAGCAGTGGATGAATACAGGCTGAAGAAGAAGAAGAGAATACATGTATAGAGGATAAGGTACACAATTCCTGTTTGGGAGACATGTGTTAACTCCAAAATGCATATTTTTCAATAGGGCAATTTTAACATTCAAGAAGGTTTCTTAAATCGAACGCAACAAAACAAAAAACCAAATATATTTCATTAAATACTTTATTAAGTGCTATAACAGATGTAACAAACGAAATATGTTTTAACATTTCTGTTTTTGATATAATGGCACATATCATATTTGTATCAAAAATATAGAGATTTAAAAAGTATTTTAATGGAGATAACGGTCAAAGGGGAAAGAACTTAAACTATTATTGGTCAGTTTTTTTGTATTGGAAAATAGTGCTGTGGAAATATATGGCTTTACTTGTACCAAATTAAAACTTACGCATCGAAATTTTCATCACTGTCGCTTGTCTATTGTGTGGTACTGGTTTGAGTGTGTTTCAGCGAATGGTACAATTCATGATAGATTGGATCTATAAAGATGGAAGTATCTGAAAATTAAACATGGAAGTTGATCTGCCTCGTCTTAGCATGAACATTGAACGAAGCGGTTCATTGGGATCTAATATGTATTTGAAGCCTATATCACTATCCTTTTTGTAATGTAGCCAAAACACGTTGTTTCAAACAAACGAATTTTATCCTAATCAACATTTTTTTTTACAAAATGCGTTGTTAGAAATTTGGAAAATCCGAAAAACTCAGTTTGTTTCATAAGTTTTACGTCAAAAAGAGGGCTCGTCATTTTAATTACTGATACCCAGTTCTGTGGAACTGAAACTGTGCCTGAAACCGTTTCTTTTTTCACAAATCTCTATGGTAACATGGTCTGTATCACATTCTAAATGAGTATGACCAGGAACAGGAACTTATGATGAATTTATTTTTCTTCTTTAGAGTTTTCTTTTCTTCAAGTGCTTTTAAAAACATAATCGGTAATATATTATTTCGGTTTTGACCTGAGAACGTATCAGAATAGAGGACTCGTTTTTCTACCTGTTCTGGTAAGTCTTTAATAAACTGAAATACTATTGTAAGCAAGTTGCGATCTCATCAGCTCCTCGTTGAGCTACACCTTCGTGCCATACATAACAAGATATCTATTTTGTGGTGATATTCACCAAATTAGGTGTAGCCACACACTTCTGCAAATCAAATGCAACAACTACAAGCTTGCCTAAGCTCCGCATACTTTCTTCTTTGTCGCCTTGTTTTGTTGTATAATGAAAGGAAGCCTTATCCTGGTGTTGTTGGCGTTCATTTTCTAATCTTTGTTTTTCTTCTTCGGACGCACAGCTTTTTATTTTCAGAAATAATGAATAACAGGTTTTGCAAGTGTCATTAGATGGCTTCTTAAACTTTGAATTAAGATTTTTAATTCAGTTTCGAAAAACACTTAAACTCATGGGGGCGTCAGTTGCATTAGATTTTGTGTCATTGAATTTTTCTTTATATATCGTACATAAAATTTGTAAATTGAATTCTTGCCCTAAATACTGCTTTTAAATGCGACTTCTACTGTAGTAGCTTTTATATTTTGGAGATGTATTAATAAAATTTCAAACAAATGAGATATCTGCTTCTGATCGCTTGTTACCTGACGGCTGCATATCTCTTAAATCGGACTTAAGTATGATAGAAGTAGGAGCTGCTTTCTTTTTTTTTAACAACTTCATCCAAGAAACCTTTGGTTTCGCCAAATACTTTCAAAAAGCAACATTTACAGATATTACCATCAATATTCTTTAACTTATAAAGAACTGTAAATTGCCTATTTTTGACTGAGTTACCACGCCGTGTTCTTTCTCTAGGTTTTACTGTTATTAAACTAGCCAAATAAGATTTCTGTGTATCCCTAGTTGCCAAGTTTCTGTAGTCTCTAAAAATTTGCTTTAGATCAACAGAGGCAGACTTTTCATGACATTTTGCTCGACAGTTTGTGGACACAGCTATCGAAATTATAGCTGAAATTCTCTTACCTTTACTGACTTTAATACTAACTTACTGACTAAGTGTAACTAAGTACCCATCGATAGACCTTAACACTAACACAATGCAATCGACACATTCGTGAATACGACCAAATGCTCATGAATAATTATGATAAGTACAAAATAACGAAAAGAAAAGTTTGATATATTCATGTTATTTACCACTTACATAAAAAAAAACTTACAGAAAATGGTACTTAAATATAATATTAATTTGAATCAAAGATGTTAAGTTAAGATGCTAAGGGACATAGCATAAAATTACGAAAATAATTTCCATATTATTTGATATAATTATGATAAGTACCAATTATCAGATATCAACAAAAACTTTATTGTCTAGTTTTGTTTTCGGGTACATGATAGAATATTTTAAAAGGACTATACCAAACAAAATTTGAATAACAGGGATTTATCGATATTATACCAAACGGTGGCATGTTTTCTAGACATACCATAGTCAGATCAAACGAAAATAGATCAAAATCAAAATGCATTGCAGGACTTAACAAAATTTTCGCTATTTTGGAGTTATCATGTTTCTCTCAAACACCACAGAATTATATTATTACAAATATTTGTCACCTACAGCTAAATTTCTATTTTTTTTATTTTAGAAAAAGTCGGTTTAATATACCGTCGTTATCAAAAATTTTAAAATTTTTTCACGTTATCTGCGGAAGATTAATATCGAAAAAAGGAAAAAGAATGAGCTCTATCCATTTTAATTCCATACTTTCCACACCATTCATCCATTTAAGCGTTGTCATTATTACAACATGTATTTTTTATTTTTATATATTTTGAATTGCTCAACATTCAACGATGTTCGTCATAACTGATCTTACTGCGTTATTAGGTTATTACAGAATTTTTCTTTCAGATTCATTGTAATTTTTTGTCACACAAAACACCGCTCACCTCTATATAACTACTAAATATTTTCGTCTAAACTTACCTCCAGATAAACAAAACTGGCGATCAGGACACATATCACAATAACGGCGTTCATAATAATTCTTTAAATAAAAATGGTAAATAGATTTTGGATCAAGATGTTAGGAAAGTAAATAAAAGTTTAGTATTAATACCCTAATCTAAAATTTATAATATTATGGATCAGTGAAGGTCAACTAAACATAAATAAATTTTAAGAGTTAACGTAGACTTTATATTAGTTTATTTAATGGTTGTTTATAGTAATTTTGATGAAACATTAAAAATCTTATGTACCTACTTGATAAAAATTTTATCGTTTTTTGTCTGAATTATAAAGTACCTGTTAATATTTGTTCATGTCGAATAAAGTCAAAAGAATTATTCACATTATTAGAATTTGTTTAATAGTTTAATTTCCAGTAGGTACGTTTTTTATAAAAAATTTAGGATGACCTTCAGTATTCTTTTATTTTTGATAAATCTGTCGACCATTTTGATGAATGATGTTTGTTTGTATACCTACCTACTCCGTGTGATTCACGACTAGTTTTTCTTTTAGTATCTTTTTTATATATAAGTTTGTTTACATTTTTGTGACAAACCTGATGTTTAACACGTTAAATGCCATAATGCATAGTAAAAAAAGTTAAGTGGGCTAAAATATTAAACATGTTTACAGAATTATTATTTGGAGCATTTTTAATAGTTATTCTTCAGTTTGAGTACAAAATCTTACATTTTTCTTGTTTCTTTAGAATTATTTTACTTGAGAAACATGTCGAACCTCAGCAACAACACTGTCATAAGTCAAAAATTGCCAATTTGAGTAAATCGGGTATGAAAATTATCCTTACTATTTAATGTTGGATTATTTCTATAAATTGAATGAAAGTGTTGTTATTTTTACTTCAATAAGATTAATTTAGGTTGTTTTATCAATTAGTATTCTGTATTGTAGAAATTTGAAACTAACATATTAATTATTAACAAATGTGTCTATGTTGCTGAAAACCCAAAGGTGTTTTCCTTCCAAAACCACAAAATTGTGATAGGATATTTCTTCTGTTTTTCAATCAAGGAGTGCATGTTGTCCCCTATATTTTGCTTATGACCAACAATCAAAAACTTTAAGTGATCAAAGGAATATCGGGTTTGCTTACTATTTAAGGAAGTAACAAGGTTGTAAATTTGTTTTTGTTCTCACCATAGCAATTGTTGCAGTAAAATAGAACAGGAAGGCCTTTAGAGCATTCATTTTTAAGAAATGAGTATAATCATGATCCTATCCCGTTAGATGCACGTTTACCTTCTCCTTCGTGCCAAATGTAGCAGAAACCATTCAACAATCCTAAGTCAAATATAGTAAAGTTATTCGTACTTAACTTTGATTTACAGTTAAAGGAGTTAATGCCCCACAAGGTGTGTGGAGAACTGCCTGTAAATCAAAAGAAACCGTAATACACTCATGTGCTTTGCTTCTTTGCTTATCTTTATCTTTTTAGTATGTGACAGATCTTTTTCCTTTAAATGACTATCACAATTTTTCTGTAAATTGACCTTACTGTTTGTATTTTTATACTCTGCACACATACTGCACTGATCTTTCTTAGGATGGAAAAATGAGATATTAAAAATTCTTGAGAATATGGTGACTGTTATTTGCAGTTTCATACTGTATAGTGTATACTGTAGCTTCAAAATAGTTTGACTTTAATATTACATTGTTGCATGATGTTCCATATTTGGCACCAAAAATTTTTTTGTCAATAAAGTTCTCCTCGTATCTAGATTTTTTTTAATATATTTACCTAAAAATAGATTTAAAATTCTTATCTGAGAATTTATTTTTAACAAAAACAAAAATTCATGCAGTAAAGAGTTAATATATTACAGTCTTTAATTTCATTCATCAATATCATTGTCAGATATGAATGCATTATCCACTACACATTTCATCGCATTATAGGCTATTTCACCGTGACTAGATCCCACAGTATCTTTACATTTATTGATTATATGCGAACGATCTACTCCTACGGAATAGGCACCAAAGAAATCGATGATTTTCTCGTATGAAATTTTTCCATCTACGCCTTGAAAACCTAGTTTTTTATAGTAACATGTTAAATAGTCCATATATAACGGATCCACTGTAGCGCTAAAATTGTTCATATTTTTGTACAGAGTGAAAGTATCGATTTTTGCTTCTTTTTGACATTCCCGTTGAAATTTTTCAATTCTTTCCTTTATTTTCTGTGGCCCATCGGCTATTACCGTTGGTGCGGCCTAAAAAATAAAAAATAAATGTTTTTACTAAACTATTACTTTATTCGGAAGCTATTTTCTTGTGACCTTTTAATATTATTAACCTATTTATTTCTATTTCCACTTCGATACATATATTATAAACATAGAGTTTGGTACCAGTGGCGGCTTTTCTTTATGTGCTGCTGAGCTGCAGAACTACCAAACAACCATAGCAAATCTTAATTATTAAAGAATAATTAATATAGTTTTATTTCAAATCTGCCATATTATCATATTAAACATAAACTGTTAATAATAATTCACCAACAACGATGATTAATATTATTTTTTTTACGTATTTACTCCTCTAGTGAAACCGTATAATTTTTTTACGTATTTGGTGCTCCAGTGAAGCAATCTTTTTACGTATTTGCTGCTCCAGTGAAGCCGCGTCGATAACAACCGAAACACTGGCAGCGGTAAAATGCATTTATTAGGCAAACGGCGATCTTAGCCGATGTGCTTCGGCAATCGGCTGATTAACGGCCTCGGAAATGTGTTTGCGAGCTGCAATTCACGACAGTTATTCGTGACCGTTGCATCTGTGCCGTGTTTAGAAATTCTTAGGTTACAATTTTGTTTAATTTGTTTTGTTCGAGCGTGTTTAAAACAATGGAGTTTCAATTTAAATTAGGTGTAAATAAATTTCAAAAACTTCACTATCAACAACAGTTGATTATAAAAGAACGTGGCCGTCCTATGCCTGATCTTAATATTGAAGTGTCCGGTAAAAGCCGTGGAAAAACATATACGCGTAAATTTAACAAAGACATGTATCTACGAAATCAGTGGATTTGTGGATGTTCCGAAAAAAATGCTTTTTTCTGTTTTCCGTGTGCATTATTCGGCGCAGATAAAGAGGAAAAATTGTGGCGCGAGACAGGAGTGCGGGATCTAGTGCATTTAAGTGAAAAAATAAAGAAGCATGAAAACACGCAAACTCATATGAACAATGAAATGCGATTTGCATTATTTGGGAAACTTAATATACAGGCCCAACTTGACTCTGCTTATTGGATAAATATACAAAAACACAATGAAGAGGTGACGAAAAACAGGTATGTTTTGTCAAAAATAATTGACTGTATAAAATTCTGTGGGGCTTTTGAGCTCGCCTTACGAGGACACGATGAATCTGAAACATCAGATAACCCTGGAATTTTTCGTGGTTTAGTGAATTTTTCTGCTGAACTTGATAAAACACTTAGTGAACACCTTACAAATGCGACAATTTTCAAAGGTACCTCAAAAACAATACAAAATGATATTTTGGATTGCATGCTAGAAGTATACGCTGAGGAGATTTTAAACGAAATCAATGAAGCCCCATTTTTAGCAGTGATAGCTGATGAGACAACGGATGTTTCTATGAAATTTCAAATGGTCATTGTTTTTCGTTATGTAAAAAACGGTGCTCCAGTTGAAAGGTTTTGGACTTTTTTGCTTCCAGAAAAACATGATGCTGAAACCTTAGCTAACACAATTTTGAATGTTTTAGACCCAATATTAAAGAATAACAAAAATAAGCTCATTGCACAAAGTTATGACGGAGCAGCTGTTATGAGTGGGATACATGGCGGAGTGCAAACAATAATTAAGAGAAAATATGAAACTGCTCATTTTGTGCACTGTTACGCCCATCAATTGAATCTAATAATGTCAAGAGCATGTTCTATTAATTCCCAAGTACGCGTATTTTTTGGAGATTTACATGATATACCTGGATTTTTTAGTCATTCACCTCAAAGAATAGCTGTCTTAAATCAAATAGTTGGAAAAAATATTCCTCGTTCAATCCCTACACGCTGGAATTTCAATATTCGTACAGTAAATGTCGTTTACGAATATAGAGACTTTATTATTGAGTGTATGGAGCAACTAGAAGAAGAGTCAAATGCTATTACTTCCAAGGAAGCAAGAGGACTTAGACGTATTCTGGAAGATCAAAATTTTACTTTCTGGCTGACTGTTTTTCATTATATTATGCCACATGTTGACGTTTTGTACAATAATCTTCAAAAAAAGAACATGGACCCAACCGAAGCACAGAAAGCTATACATGTTTTTGAGCAAAGTATTAACAATGTCCGAAATAAAATAGACCCTATCATACATCAAGCTTCAAATTTAAATGCGGCGCCTAGTGTCCAAAAAAGGAAACGCCCAAATAACAGCCAACAGGATCACCGTATTGCCTGTCTAGAAGTTTGTGATGTTATTATAAACAATGCAAAAGAACGGTTTGCATATACAAATCATCTAGTTGCCGCAACACTTTTATCTTCAGAACATTTCGAAAAATATAATAATAAGTTTCCTGAAAATGAATTGGATTTAACTTGTACAGCTTATAACTTCTTTGATAAAAACCGTTTGCGAACAGAACTGTCAGTTTTGTATTCCAATATCGAGTGTAGAACATTAAAAGGTGCAGTGCCTTTACTAAAATTTATAATTTCTAATAATTTAGAGGACACATTAACAGAAACCAAAAAGTTGATACAAATTCTGGTGACTACGCCAATGACCACAGCAGAAGCTGAACGTAGTTTTTCAACTTTAAAACGGATCAAAACATTTTTAAGAAATTCAATGTGCGAAGACAGATTAACAGCCCTTTCCACACTCTCGATAGAAAAAAAGTTCATCGCTTCAATACCGAACTTTAACGATAAAGTAATCGAAAAGTTTGCGACAAAAAAGGACCGGCGTATTAATTTCCAATTTAGAAAAATGCAATAAATGTAAGTTAATCAGATTTTTATAGCATGTCGTTATTAGTTACTATTAATTAGTATTAAAGCTAATTTTATTGTTTTTGTTTTCGTATGTTATTCTATTTCTATTATTTTATATTGACCGTGGTTCATGCAGCACACCCTATAGCAGATGTCACGAGCCGCCACTGTTTGGTACTAATATTGAGTTTAAACTAAATGTAAGACCAAATACTTAGGTCTTAGTCCAAATACTCACGAGATAGTCTCGTGAGTATTTACCTGTATGGGTTTGGCATTGCTGGGATGTTTTTATTATGCATATTTTGTAACCTACAAATATAAAGAGAGAAAGCTTTTAAAAGCACATTTTGATTCTAGTATGATATGAACTCTGCAATTTTTAATTTGAAAACGCTATTACTAGAACAACATTTGCCAAAGTTTGTACCTAATTTAAAAATAAGCTGTATTATTGTTTACAAAACAACGAAACCCACTTTGAACATTTATTTAATTGACATTTTTAACAAATGTCTAATTCAACAAAAACTACATTAAATTCTCCAATTAAGCCAAAGTTTCACAATTATTGCTTCACCCTGTATAATTATTATAACGCAGCCAGAGGTGAAAACCAAATGCCAGGACAGGGATTCACGTCCAACTTTTCACCCCTGGTTGCGTTAAGTAGTTGAGTTACTGTGACCAAATGTCCATCTTGGTAGTTAGTATTCGCCTCTGGTTGCGTTGAGTAACTGAGTTACCGTTGCTAACTACCCATCTTCCTGTCTTTTGATTTCTTTTTCTTTGTTCTCCTGAAGAAGCTACATACAATTGTAGCGAAACGTCGAGATGAACCCACTTTTGGGTCACTCACAAATGACACGGTCCAAACCCGGAAGACGAATAAACTATAATTCTGACTCTGACCGTGGAAGCCTACGATTTCATTTGATCTGTGTTTTAGCAATCTAAAATTTATTTGTGCCAAATTGCAAAATACCTCTTTGCACTTTAGATGTAATTAAGGCAAAATCTGCACAAGAAGAATATGCCCGTCTTTCCCCTACTATAATTATTAAAAGCAGATATCATTTTGAGAGTAAAAATTACGAGTTATCAGAGATTATCATTTAATTTAAACATTTAGATGTTGAAATAAAAGCAAGCTATAACTTTTTCATTAAAACTTACCTCTAAACAAATGATACTGCAAATCAGTATCAGACATGATGCAATAAAAAACTTCATTATAAATTCAACCAGTCTGCGTCTCAGTTACAAATAAATCCAAATATTATAACCTCATCAAACTTTCATTATTATGGATTATCATAGGTCACGTAAATATCAATAAATCCAAATGAACCGTGGTAAATTTTTCCCATATTTTGATACACTGTTCTCTGACGTGGTTGCAGAACATATTACTTGCATATCTGATGTATGAATGACATATTGCAAAATAGGCCTGTTTAAGAGTGAATTGAGATACACATTCAGGAAGTCTTCTCATCAGAAACGTTGCAGATATCAATTTGCAACAAGGGACCTTGTATGAACTTTCCAACAAAGTCCTGCATATAAGTAAACCTACAAAAAATTTATTTGTTTGTCTGCACCCTCGGAAAGAAGCTGCCTTGTTGAAAAAAATCAAAGTTAGAGTTTTATTGAGGTTTAGAAGCAATTTATTTGCAAAAAACCATTATTCTGCAGTAACTTGTGCTTGTTTGCTTCCTGAAAATTTCTAAAATTGAGGCTTATACAGGGAGCTATTCAAATAATCTTTTCAAAATAATTAAACAATTACTATCCTAACACACAAAAAAGGAGATATATCAGACCTAGAGAATTATAGACCGATAAGTCTGTTGTCACATCTCTACAAATGGTTTACCAAGATCATCACAAAACGTTTAAAACGAAAATTAGATTTCTATCAGTCTAAGGAGCAAGCTGGGTTTAGGAAAGGTTATGGAACAAATGACCACCTACAACCACATAAAATACTATACTAATATATACTATATATATACTTATAAATAAAATACTAATTAAAAAATGTGTTGAATATAATAAACCACTCACGTTGATTTTCATAGACTTCAAGAAAGCTTTTGATACCGTGGAGTAAAAGGTTTTATTAATATTGATGGTGAATACTTAAGCCACTTGCGCTTTGCATATGATATTGTCATTATAGCCGAGAGTTTAAATGAAGCTCACAAAATGATGGAAGAACTAAAACAGGCAATAGAACAAATAGGCCTGAACATAAACTTTAAAAAAACAAAATACATGACCAATTTAGTTCCAAGTGATGTTATGAGGGTAGATGGGAACGAAGTACATCAGGTCTTTAGCTATATCTATTTAGGGCATGAAATTAGAATAGGAAAAGACAATCAAACTTGTGAGATCCAGCGTCGCATAGGCTTGGGATGGGCAGCATTTGGCAAGGTGCGAGATATTCTAAAAGGAACGCTACCGATTTGCTTGAAGAAAAAGGTTTACAACCAATGCATACTGCCAGTAATAACATATGGTTCCGAAACAATAACTTTAACCAAACATTCTGCAAATAAAATCCACAAGGAAAACAATTCCTGTAGCTGGCTGTATACCACGTATCACAAAAAAAGGGGTTAGTCTTTGTAAGTGGGTATATTTATTTAAAAACCCTTAAAAGGGCTACATAAAAAAACAAACGTTTTCGGACTAAACAGTCCATCATCAGGTTTAAAATCTGCTAGGTTAAAATGCCTGAGCCACCAAAAATACATGGGTAAAACCCTTTAAATTACTTATAGTTATCAAAGATTATACATCTTGTTGTTAAAAAACTGTGATGTTCATTATTAAATTAAAAAATGCAAATAAATTGAGAGTAACCCAAAGAAAAATGGAAAGAGCAATGTTGGGAATAACTAGAAGAGATATGGTACCAAATAGGATAGTGAGAGAGAGGACTAAAGTGACAGATGTCATAGAAAAAATTGCACAAGCCAAATGGAGATTGGCTGGACATATAGCACGTTTAAATTATAATAGGTGGACCAAAAGACTCATAGAATGGAGACCTAGAGAAGACAAAAGACACCGAGGCAGACCACCAAAAAGATGGACGGACGACTTGAGAAAAACAGTCGGAAATTGGATACAGAAGGCGCAAGATAGAGAACAGTGGAAGAACATGGAGGAGACCTATATCCAACAGTGGATGCAAGAGGTTGAGGAATGTCTATACAGAGAATATGTAAAATGGGGGTTACAAGTCAGCATGAAGAAATCAGAATATTTAGTCATCAAACAAGTGGAAAAATTTAAATATTTAGGTCCACTCATTGATAAGAACGGCTTGGGAGAAACCGAAATTAAACACCGATTTAATCAGGGACGTAAAATTGTTGGATGTCTGAACTCCTTATGGTGGGATCGCAACATTTGCAAAAGGACATTAAATGAAATAGAAAAACCAAAATTACTGTGGTATGGACATACGGGAAGGATAGACGGAACAAGAATACCACTGAAAACTTGGAAATGGAAACCAAATAGTACACATCATACAAACAATAATGGAAAAAAGAGACCTCACAGGAGAAGGTATGTATGACAAGAAAAAATTGGGATGTGGTAAACGGCAAACAGAATACACTTGTAATCCATGGATAACTAAGTATTTAGATGTTCAAATAAAAGTAAGCTATAACTTTTTTACTAACACTTACCTCCAAATAAATGATATTGGAAATCAGTATCAGGCATGATGTAATAAAGAACCTCATAATAAAAAATTTAACCAGCCTGTTTTTTTTTACAAATAAATAGAAAAATTATAATCTAATCAAACTTTTGTTATTATCATGGGTCATGCAAAATATCAATAAAACCAAATGAACCGTATTAACGGTTTTCCCTATTTTGATGATATACTGGTCTGTGACGTGGTCGCAAAAAATTGAAGATAATATGCTTGTGATTGTTAATAAATTATAATAGCGCTCGGGCGTAGCCAGTCCATGATGTTTTTAGGGACTCAAAGCCCACACTCGAAAACAGAAAATAGCATTGAGCTTCATCATCATCATCATCAATGGTACTACAGCCCTATGAAAGAGCCTCAACCTTCCCAAATCTATTACGCCAGGCAGTCCTATCCATTGCCAACCGTTGCCAGTTTGCTGCGCCTATCTTTCTACCATCCTCATCTACACCATCCTTCCATCTGAGTTTTGGTCTACCCTTTTTTCTACTTCCCACGGGTTGTGACATAAGGATTCTTCTAGGAGGGTTGTTGTGCAGTGATCTTGCTAGATGTCCTGCCCATCTTAGTCTTCCTATTCTTATAAGAGATACTACGTCTTTACCACCAAATATTTGTTTATATCTGTGGTATACCTCGTAGTTGTATCTCCTCCTCCAAACACCATTTTCACAGAAGCCACTAAATATTCCTCTCAGGATCCGTTTAAATATAAGCAGAAGGTCTTCGTCTGCCTTGGAGATGGTCTATGTCTCCGATCCATATGTCAACACTGGCTGTATAAGGGTTTTGTATATGGTTATTTTTGTTTTTTGGCTTAAGTTTCTACTTCTCATATGTCTACTCAGTCCAAAATAGCATCTGTTTGCCATTTTTATCCTTCGCTTGATTTCTTCCGTTATGGCGTTCTCTTTGGTGATCAGGGAGAATAAGTATGTGAATTTGTCCACCACTTCAAACGTAGAGTTATCAACTGTGAATTGGGGACCGATGTTCCTGACTCTATTGTTGGGTGTTGATGCCATCATCTTAGTTTCCTCCTCATTTACTTGCAGGCCCATAGATTTTGAGGCATTTGAGAAGGTGGTATACATTTCTTCTAGCTTGCGTGTTGTGCGGGCAACTAGGTCCACATCATCTGCATATGCCAAAATTTGGGATGATTTATTAAAAATATTTCCTCTGTGGTCTATTCGGGCATCTCTGATCGCCTTTTCCAGTGCTATGTTGAAAAGGAGACACGCCAGCGCGTCTCCCTGTCGTAGCCCAACATGTGTTACAAACGCCTGTGATTCTTAGCCCTGTATTTCGACTTTGCAAACCACATTACGCATTGTAGCCTTAACCAATCTTATCAGTTTATCGGGGATGTGGAATTCATTCATGGCTGCATACAATTTATTTCTTAGGACAATATCATAGGTAGATTTGAAGTCTACAAAAAGATGGTATGTATCGATATTGAATTCATTGGTTTTTTCCAGTATTTGTCTTAGCACAAAGATCTGATCTGTTGTTGATCGACCAGGCCTAACACGACTATATATTCCTCGAGAAGTTCCTCTGAATATGCACTTAAAGACCATATAAGATCCTCGAAAATATTTTGTATGCTGTATTAAGGAGGGTTATTGCCCTATAGTTTCTACATTCCAATTGTTCACCCTTTTTTTGTAGCGGGCAAACGATTCCAATACACCACTCTTCCGGGATTTGTTCCTCATTCCAGGCTCTCATTATTATTTTATATATTTAATTAGTCACAGTAGCACCTCCACATTTAATAAGTTCCTCGGGTATACCATCACTTCCTGGAGATTTATTGTTTTTTAGGTGTTTTATTGTATCTCGTACTTCTTGAATTGTCGGAGGCTCTAATGGTGAATTGTTGCTTGCTCCTGCGGGTGGTTGATTTGGATCTGGATCTTCTACTTCTATAGTAAGTAGTTTTTTAAAGTGTTCCACCCACCTTTTTGGTACTTCTTCTTTTGTATTTAGTATATGCCCCTCCTTATCCTTACATAGTCTGAGCCTTGGTTGGAATTCCTTTCTTGCATTATTCAGAGTTTTGTAGAATTTTCTTGTTTGGTTTTCCTTTTTTAATACCTCAAGTTCTTCCAATATTCTATTTTCGTGAGTTCGCTTTTTTCTTCTATGAATGCACTTCTCTTCTTTTCACACAAAAGAGAATTAAATTTTTCTCAGACATAAACTTAGAATCTCGATAATTGCGTTTCGTTCTGTTTGCTGCTATAAACTTAATACGTAGAATTAATTGCGGGGAGTATTGTATTTGTAACAATATTATTCATGTCATGCATGACTCGGTGTATAATTTATTCCAAATAAACACGTTTCGGCATGTTTTAAAAGACATTCTGTACATACACACTACACACCAAACAAGCATCTGCGGTTGCTAGCACTCTTTCTATTGACATACTAAATAATTGAATATCGTTATGAAATAAATAGAATATACTAATTTAAGTATTTTACATCTTTAGGTATATAGTCAACTTCCGCACATCCGCTCAGTGTACACATTATTAATGTGAATGAAAACTTATTTTATAAACTAGATCTAATGTAATATTTTTATTATTATAAGCAGAAATAAATGATTATTTTGTAACAATGTAAAGTGGCTAGCAAGGAAACATATTTTTTACGCGCCGCCAATGATCGAATTCAAAATTTCCGAGAATGCATGATAGATACGTGATTTCGGCTACTTTTGACCACTTACGACGCGTGATTTCTGATTTATAGTTTCATTCGATATTTGCAAGACTATAGTAAGCTGTTTAGTTTTACTAATACCAGAGTTTTTATATAATGAAACATTAATCGTGATTAGGATTTAATAAAACACTTTTCTTTTATACTTTTTATACTTTTATCTTTATTTACTTATTATCTAATCCTATTCAATTTTTTTTATTAAAATTTACTTTGCTCTGGCGTAAACTTCAACGTCGTACCTGAGGGATCCACCTTTCTTAGATTTCAAATGTACGTTTACGAAATCATGGCCAACTCCTCCGGATGTAATTTCAGCTGTGGATCCAACGCTGGGATCTTGAGAGCTAAGAGCTTGAACGCAGTAAATAACTTTAGTAGCATCTCCTAACCACTCAACCTGTAAATAGTAAGATAAGTATACATAATCAAATGATAAATGTGTACAAACTATAAAATAATAATATATTTATCTAATGCTTTTTTTATATATTGGTATAAATGATATGCGAGGCTGAGCTGAAGGTCATGGAAGTTAAGAGTACCTTCCAATAATAAGTTGGAGGTCTTCGACATGTGGACGTTGCGAAGAATGTTCCGCATACCATGGACAGATAGGGTGAGAAACGAGGAAGTCTTAAGAAAGGCAAATACTGAGAGAGAGAACTACTCAATTTGATCAAGGTACTAAAAATTGGATACATTGGCCATATTCGGAGAGGAAAAAAATACGCTATCCCACAACTAATCATCCAGGGAAAGATTGAAAGGAGTAGGTCGCAAACAAATGTCGTGGCTACGGAACATAAAGAACTAGACAGGCATAAATAACACTGGCGGTCTTTGGCATGCCGCAAAAGACAGACGTTTGGCTTAAGATAATTCCCTAACGCACTATTTATAGGTGTACGACACTATAAGAAAAAGAAGAAGATATCTGGCAAAAAGCGTCATACTAACTTTTAGGCAAGCTTGTTCTTCATGTACCTTAAAAGAGGTACAACTTTATATATTGAAGAGAAACAAATAAAAAAAGCTAAAATCCATCTGTGTAACTTTACATGCTATAGAATAGAGGAATTTAACAAACATCCAATAATAACACAATTAATTCAGTTGAGAGTTTTAAATACTTACATCAGCTTGTTTGGTAACAAGTGGGAAACCACCCTTGTCTACTTGCTCTTGGCGCACCAAATCGTCTCTGGTAACATTGTCGCATTGTCCATCGACAACGTCGAAAGATGGACCTGTACCTGTGAGAACAGGTACGGTAAGACCGATGGCGAAGATGGCGCAGAAGACTGAAGCTACCAACAAAGTATTCATTTTGATGAATTCGTAATACTTCTCCAATAAGCGATTGCTTCACTTTTATACCCGGAATGTCACAAGTGGCTAATGGATAAGATTAAATTGTTATATCAAGACAAGAATTAACATATCTTAAGTTACGTAAAGTCTCTTGTATTAAGTAATAAATAGGAACATATACTTTAAGCTCTTGTAAATTTTGACAATACATACTTGACCTTTCTACATATAGGATTTAGATCATAATTCAACTAAAGGTGTCTTGGATAGGGTTTCATATCTTTCATTTTATAATTATATATTAAACAAAGTAAAGGTTTTTTACTTATGATGCACAGATAAATTTAATAATTAATCTATTGTATATTGTACTGTCTAATGTATATTAGACAATACAATACGCTTTGTCTCTCTTCCTCATATTCTATCTATTATTGACCTCTCGTCTATTTTCTCTTGGTCTGTCACATTTGTATCGGTTTTCTCGATATTCCTGTTCATTTCCTCCAATATTAATTCTGTGCTCGTGATATGTGTGGGTGGTGTTTCGAATCTGGTTTTCTCGATTTCTGTCTTCGTTCCATTGCCGATTTCTTTGTTCATAATTTCCTCGTCCGTTTCGTCTATTTTCGTTTTCCCTCCTGGAAATAAATTCTCTTTTTGTATAGTTCCTCCTATAATTTTGTCCTCTGTCGCTGTACCCATGTGTTTCTATGGGTCTGTAATTTTCGTGCAATCTTCTCGCCTTTCTTTCTCTCAAACGCAATTTTCTTATTTGTAGGAATTGACACAAACTTTCTATATCTTTGTAATTTTGCAACGTGATATGGTCTTGTACCGTTTCTTCAAAATGTCTTGCAATTAGTTCGACTAATTGTTCTGACGAGTAATTATATTGCATTATATAATGTTTTGCATTATTATATACTTGTAGTATATTGAATACAACCTTCCGCTGTACTTAGCATTCGTAGATTATGAAAAGGCTTTCGACAGCATTGAACACTGGGCGGTTGAAGAAGCTCTGGTCAATAGTAGAATAGATTCAAGATACCGACAATTGATACATGATATTTACCAAAACGCAACCATGACCGTAATTCTGGACGACAAATTAATAACGGATAATATAAAAGTTAAACGAGAAGTCCGACAAGGCGATATAATTTCACCTAAACTGTTTACCTTGACCCTCGAAGACATAATAAAATCAACAGATTGGGAAAACAGAGGAATATGTATTAACGGAAAATACCTAAATCACCTTAGATATGCGGATGATATACTCCTGATCTCCTCGGAACGACAAGAACTGGAATTAATGCTGAATGAACTTCATGAAAAATCACTGCAAAAAGGCCTAAAAATTAACTTCAACAAAACAAAAGTAATGACAAACACGGAAGACCAAGAGGCAATAAAAATAAAAACAGAAAAAATAGAACAATAGAACAGGTAAATGAGTATATCTATCTAGGACAAGCAATCAGAGCTAATAGAGAAAATCAAACAGCCGAAATATCGAGACGAGTAAGAATGGGATGGGCAGCGTTCGGCAAACTTTCTTACGTTCTAAAAAATCAAACAATTCCTCTATACTTACGAAGCAAGGTATATAACTCCTGTATCATACCGGTGCTCACCTACGGAGCACAGACATGGACATTTACACAGGCCAATTTGGATAGGATAAGGAAGGCACAAAGAGCGATGGAGAGACAAATGTTGGGTGTATCACTTGGAGATAGAAAACGTAACCAGTGGATCAGAACCAGAACAAAGACAGTAGACGCGATAGAACAAGCAGCAAAACTGAAATGGAAATGGGCTGGACACAATGAACGTCTCCAAGACGGACGATGGAACAATGCCATCGGAAAGTGGCGTCCATACAATGCAAAGAGATCAAGAGGCAGACCACAGATGAGGTGGAAAGATGACATCAGGAAACAAGGAGGTCCCACATGGCAGAGAACAGCTCAAGATAGGGAAAGATGGAGAGAACTGGGGGAGACCTATATCCAACAATGGAAGGATAGAGAATAGGTTCAAAAAAAAATACTTGTAGTGCGAATGTTTTTCTGAGATACCCATCCTATCATTGTATCTCCCATTTTGCAATTCTTTGTTGATTTCTAATTGTTGAATTTTTCCCCAGAAATAATTCAAAAATTTCTGTTCAAACTTATGCCAACTGTCAAACTCTTCTTCTTTGCTATCAAACCATAGACTAGCCTCATCTTTGAGATGGTTTCTGATCGTTTCTTTAGCTGCTTACTTTGGGATGTGGGTTTGTTGAAGGATGCTGAAGATCTCTTGGACATAGCACGTGACCAACAACGAGGTGTTGAGAAGAATGGGTACTGAAAGAGAACTCCTAAATATTGTAAAAAACAGGAAAACGAGTTATCAGGGACATATTTACACAGAGAGAGAGAGAGAGAGATATACAACTTCCTACGACTTATAATGAAAGGGAAAGTGGAAAGAAGAAGAGGTCCAGGAAGAAGAAAATGCTCCTGGTTAAAGAATGTAAGAGACTGGACAGGTATGGACACATATTCGATACTATCAATAGAGAGCTCAATAAGAGGAAGATTGTATCTCTTTGATAGTTATAAGGTTAAGCTAGTTCGTTTTTGTTCTTTTTCTTCGTAATTCGTATTCGCAGTAAAAAACTAAAACTTATCTATAACTATAACTTCTCTTATGAGGTCATATTATGTTTATGAGAAATACAAGACTGGGACGACAACATTGTCTTGGGTTACACAAGTTTTGTGGAGTCAAATGTTCTTGTGATGAGGTCCTTATTCTAATTATGTCTTATCTCTGTTAAAATAATAAGAAAAAGTCAATACTTGTGAATATTATTTACTAAAATCTAAAAAATGTAGTGTATAAAACGTATAAAAGTACAAAATTATCTATTCTACGCTAATTATCAACCATCTTTGAGCACTTTAAAAAGATATTCAAGTTCTAACACCGTATCCTCAGGTAAGTCCGTACAATGCACTGCATTTTTGTATTTATCACAACCAAATTGAGCTCTTAAAGAATTTGGACGGATTTGTTTAGCTATGTCGGTATCAGCTGGCCCGGCAAACTTCCTAAACTCATCGTGAACGTTCATTTCATTGTTTTTACCCGATATTTCCAGAACAACACATGGACCATCCAGAAAACTTAACAGTAGGGCGTGATAATCGCTGACCACTCCTTTATATACCTCCAGGAATTCATCAGCATTAGCACTCGTCAAATAGAGCATCTGGGCACCGGTGATTTTAAAGTGGGAATTGGATATCGTTGAAATTATATGCCCAAGTTTTCCTTCCTGGATCGCATGAGGCTTTATAACGCAACATGTACTATTTTCCAACTTGACCGTCGCTGATGGTGTCACATCGTTCGTAGAAAAGAAGAAATCTGATTCTAACATTCCTTCTTCAACTGTGTAGGCACCATGAAAGCCATTAGTAGCTCTGCTGTCGTGACCGTGTACTGCTCTAAGACTCTGAGGTGCTGTTTTCCTAGCTTCCACAGGATCTACTGGTCCCATTAGCGTCTGTAATCGCTGTACGGCATTTTCTCCAATCAATTCCATAGCAACAATTGGTCCGGAAACTACGTTTTCTAAAATAAATGGCAGAACTGTGTCTCCCTTCATTCTTTCGTAAAAATCTAAAGCCTCTTTCCTACTTAGATGGCACATTTTTAGTTTGGATATATGAAACTGATTCTCCTGGATTATATTAATAACTATTCCCAGTTTATCAATCACTGTCGGTTTCAAAACCACCAATGTCTTTTCTCTTAACTTTCCTACATACTTCTGCGTGCGACAATCCGCATAACCGGTTATTTTGATCTGTCTACTATAAATTCGCACAGTGTTACCGACAAACATGTCCTCCATGCGCAGATCGTCCAGTTTGGTGCGTTTCAAATACATTTTTTTGGCTTCCTTGTCGTAGATCTCGATAGTATTGTCATATGGGTAGTAACTAATGATGAATTTTTTTTGGTAGGAGGAATCGTAATCGTACCATTCGCCAAGGAAAACCAGTTTGTCATTGTAGTCATAGTTCTGTTGTGCCATTTTGCTGAAAAAATCAGTCATTATAAGTATTTAGAAAAAAATATAGGTATATAATTATTAATGGATATATAAATAAAGACAAGGTTGTCACATAAACTGCTTTTGACATTTCTATTTACGTTAAAAATATATTATCAATGACATCTATCAAAATTAAACTCAAAACAAGAAAAATTGGTAAAGTTTTTCTAGAAATACTGCTAGACTAACGTACTGCTATAGCACTGAAAATATAAAGTTAATAGAGAGAATGCCACTCCCGAAGATATTCCTAGGTATCTTTAAAAGCAACCTTATTAAAAAGAGTAACGATTGATGATTATTATTTATCAAGTTTCTGTTGTAGAAAGGTAAGGCTGTTGTAACTTTTAATGATAATAAAACTTCTTCTTCTTCTTCCTTTATTGGGTAATATCAGATAATAAAACTTCCACGTCCAAATGATAATAAAACGTGCAGTTTTTTTACGCTATGTTCTTCTTCTTCTTATTTTTGGCTTTTATTCTACTGAATAATCAGCCAGTACATTTGTTGTGTTCATTTTTTGGGCCACTTTCGTGAGTCTGAGAATATATCTCATGCCCTATTATTGGTGAATTTAAATATTTTATTTACAAAGCTACATTTTATTTATGTTTTCTATTTTCTTATAATTGATTTAAATGTTAATTTTGGATAGGTTATTACGAAGGTTATAATTTTATATGGTTGATCTGTAGGAATCTGAGAAGAATTTTGATAATTTTAGAGTTATTATCGCATAGAAGCATTGGTATGTTAATTGGGGTTTTAATATTAACTTTGATCAGCTCCTGATAGACATCATAATCTTTTATTTTGTTTATTGGGCATTCCTAAAATATGTGTTCTCGTGTGTTCATTTTGCCCACATTCACAGTATGGGTTATCGCGAATGTTAATTTTATATAAATGTACTCCTGTCAAACAATGACCTGTCCTCATTCTAATAATGGTAGTAATATGCCGCCTATCTATGAATGGGATTGTGTCAAACCATGGTTTATTAGGAAAAAAATTTTGTATGTTGTTATACCACTGGCCTTTATATTGAAAAGAATTTAACCAATTATTTTGATGCATAGAACATATTTTATTTTTTAATAATGGCATGATATCCAAGTTACTTAATCGAATTCTAGCAGGAATATTTAATTCAGCTCCAATCTTTGCCAGTTTGTCAGCTATTTCATTTCCCTTACGCTATGTATCTTGCGAGTATCTTCTTCTTCTTCTTTTTATATAGACATGACCCCTGTTTTGAAAAAACATCAGTTGATTTCGAAGATTTAACTGCTTACGAAACAGTCTGGATACAAAGTTTTCTATCTAAACTTTTTAAGTTGGTTCCCGGACCACCACAGTGAGGCTAATTAACAGCATGCTATTAGATACTTCTGCCTTGTACCATGCAATAATATAAGCAAACAGATAAAGTTAAACCACGAACTACAACAGGGATCTGATTTGGCCCCATTCTATTCAACCTCTATATATTAGACCTTCCCAAATAACCCTAACACCACAATACTGCTCGAATTGAACAGTTCTCTTCGAAAATGTAGAAGGAGCGGAATAATATGTTGATAACGGCAAGTGTGAACTTGGCGAAATGTTGTCAAAACAATCTTTTTTTTTTCTAAAAACTAAAATTATTGAACGAGGAGTCAAATACTGCAAAAATCATATACATACATATATATAGAAAAGGTGTACGACTGGCAATCCAATATTAATAAAGGGATCATTCAGAGTGGTGCGTTTTTTGGTCAAAACGTGGAGAAAAAAGACAAAGAAGGTGGCTACATTATCTATTTATTGAAGACGTTTCACTTTCTAATCAGAAAGCATCATCAGTTCACCTAAAAAGAACAGTATGAAAAACCAAACATCCATACAAAAATTATTATAAGTGTGTTACCTCAAAAAGGCATGTAGCAGTCAATGATAGTAAATGTGTAAAAAAGCTTACGACAATAAACAAATCCTATGAACCTTGGACTGTGGAAGTTTAATCAATCTTCACCTGTGGCTGGCTAACCAGTCACAACGTAGACTTGATTAATATATGATATTTTGGATTGACCTCACTTGTTTGTTCATTGTTCCTCTTAACCAATCATTGGGGGGGGGGGAAATGGTTATCTTAACCACCTCTTCCTTTAATTTTTTGGTTTTTTGCTTACAAGTTGTCACCCAAATTTATCATATTCTTTATATGTACCGCTCTATTGCACTAGAGGTTGGTAATAGCCTTGCTGTTCTGTCATATTTTGAGCTCAAGGCCACTGTCTTTTCACGTTGTTGGCGTGGGTGTTATACCTGTTGCTTTCATTTACCTTCAGCACCTAATAAGCTAAAGACTGGTAACTTCATTTTACTTTTAAATATTATATTACAATCTTAATCTATTCAACAATGTTATCTAATGTTAAAATTAAATCTATCTAATAATGTATTGTTGGAAGTGTATCGTATGATCTTTTTAATATTAATATTAATATTTTTTACTCTTAAGTTTTTTACATAAATTCTTTTTATACATGTACAATTACCACATATTCTTTTGCTGTGCTAAGTTTGTTAATTTGTAAACTGTATCTAGTTTCAATTAATTGTTTATACAACATGATCCCAGAATATCCATTGTCGTAAGCTTTTTTACACATTTAATATCATTGACTGCTACATGTCTTTTGAGGTAATACACTTTTTTTCTTTGGATGTTTAGTTTTTCATACTGTTCTTTTTAGATGAACTGATGATGCTTTCTGATTAGAAAGCGAAACGTCTTCAATAAATAGATGAAGTAGCCATCTTCTTTGTCTTTTTTCTCCACCTTTTGACTGAAAAACCCACCACTCTTTGAGTGATCCTTAATTTATACATATATATATATATATATATATATATATATATATATATATATATATATATATATAAATATTTCAATGCATCATCGTACATTGTCACCTTTAACTCTTCCCATCTGATACTTCTTAACCAATAATATAAAAAATTCATACCTAATTCGATATCATCTTATAGATAACATTGTATTATAATGCCCAATTTAAATCTAGTTATGATTAATATTTCGTCAAAGATAAACACTTGCGACAAAGAGCTCAATTATCAAAGTTTAAAAACCCTCGTTGTAAAAACAGCTTCAAGAAGATTACAAAAATAAACAATATTATATTAGATAGCGATATTTTTTATTTTTGATATAAATAATTCAACATTCAATATAAATCAATAATGCTAATACTTTCCCGTCAAAGGTAGAAGTTAGATTAAGATTACAGTGAAGCTAAGAATACCAGTTTCGTATCTACACATTGACCAAAAAGTGAAAAAAGCTTACTTCTTTTCGTTGTTTTCTCTACCTTTTGTATTCGGTAACTCTCAGATCACTTCGCTAGTTTTATGTTGCCGTAATTGCGTTGTATGATCCTCTTCTTTCATATCTTATTAAACTAGGCAATAGAGAAGTTTCTTATTTAGTTTGAGCATCTCATTTTGTGTTGCGTACTTTTTTCCGCCACAACTTTGTTATTTTGTTGACAAACTGAATGTTAATATTCTTTATTCTTTTAGTTTTAAGTTACAATTAATATTGGTTATGCGCACGTATGCATGGTTGTATACTAACTTCCAGTCGAAGTAAAAATTTGACATTTCAATGAACCAACAACCAAAGAATATAGACGCTTAAGCGTCTATATTCTTTGCAACAACTATAGTGAATAGAGTATTAATTCTGTGAAAATCTTCATTTAGATGCTAATTATAAACAAGCATTACGTGGTTTAAATATTAAATATATGAATATTAACAAACACTACTTGGTGACAAACCAAAAACCCCTCACATTGTAGAGCTATCGAAAAAAAAAGCGTAATGAGCAACTGGCTAAAATTCCGAACAGCGTTTTTTTCAATTCATAGTCATAGCAGGTCATAGCTTACTCTAATAATTATAAGTATTTTATATGTCTTCTTATCAATGGCTTCGTATACATAAAAAGTAAGTCAACAAATTGACGAGAAAAAGTAAAATAATAATAATAGTCAACCAAACCTTACCTTGTTGCCATTTTCTAAAATATAATCACAGTCTTTTAATATAAAAATTAATGAAAGGTCAAACAATCTTTTATATTTACATGGTAACCATTGTAGTAACTAGGGAGTAGCTTATTGAGTACCTACTTTTAATGGTTGGGATAAGTACCACATGTTCTCATGTTCAGTCGCCGTATAATTTTAAAGTTGGTCGACATTTAAAACAAATTTGGCTTTACAAGCTTATATTGGACGACAATATGCATGGAAAAGATAATTTGAGGTTAAGATAAGTATTGAATATTGTTCTGAAGTTATTTTTTATTATTATTGATTGTATAATAAATTGTACTATAATAAATAAAATTTTTAAAAAAGTTGAGTTTAATTTTCATACTCATTAATTTAAAGATTAAAAAACCCCAGGATATTTTTAAATGTAAGAGTTCGACGTCAGACTCAATGTTATTCCTATTTAAATACACGGTAAATGTGTACCAGCCACGGAGATGGCTGAAACAGTGATAAAACCTGTGATTATTATATGTACACATGGCAGAGAACTAAGATTGTCTGTGTCCACATATGGTACACATGACAGATAAAGTGTTAACCTATACATCTTACAAATTGTTTAATTTTGTATCTATTGGAAGAATTGGACTGTTCTTTAGATAAAAAGTCAATACTTCAATAAATCTGTCAAAATTACACAAAACCATCAATAATGAAACAGAAATTGTTGTTAGTAATTAAGTAATAAATAAAACAGATGCAATAAAACGTATATTTTATTAATAAAAACAGATATCCTTAAATAAATTTCCAATTAAAATTTACATGTACATTTACGATATCACTACTTTGTAGCTATCAGTGCATAACATCGGGGTGACACTAAATCATCAGTAATTTTCTGTACGCGTGCTTCGAATCCCTTTTCCTTCAAATATTCCACCCTGTCTAGTAAAACAACGTTTTCACATACATTTTGTAAAGAAGCTTGAAGTCCTGTTAAAACCTCCAACAAAAAACATTTGTCTTTGTACTCATTCCACTTTTCACGCATTTTATTCAAGAATAACTCATCAGTAATACTTAACTGATTATCGTTTGAGTTGCGTGGTTTCAGTTGATGTGTACTTGGTAGATGATTTAAGTAATCTTCGATGTCTATAGTTGACGTGTGTGCTGTTGATTTTCGTTTAAGACGTTTGATATCTAAGTTTTCTAAAACAAAACAAAATATATATTGTTTATATCTTGACAAAAATACCACAAATACATTAGAGAAGATTCAAGAGAAGACTTTAAATACGACAACTAATACAAAAATATTTGTTTCAAAGAATAAAGAGGAAGGAGTGAATGACAGGAGATTTTGAGAATAATTGAAGTTCGACGAAAGAATAAGGATAAAAATAAGAACGACTTCAACAAAATTAATAATGAAATACAATAGTTATCGGAATAGCTGCAAAAATTTGTTTAGGTTAAACAACTGATTTATAAAAATGCACAATCAAAAACATGATTCATGTAACAAGATATAATACAGTATTACCTATATTTAGGTATAACATATTAGCAGGTATCACTTATCTGTAATCACAGTAGAAGACAGGCTGCTACGGGGGTTCGTAACCCCGCCTTATGCTAGCCGCTGGTTCCCCCTCTTTCCTTACCTGTCTCTCCCTTTAAAAACTCCCACCTTCCTCCTATCCTCTATTAATGCGCACTGGCCAGGTCGGTAGAGTTTGGCTAAAATACAAACATGCTTCACACAACAAAAACACGGCTCTGAGTTTCTGACAGTGAGCTGATCCTTGATCAAGGTAGCGATCAAGAAGAAGACAGCAAACAGAGACTGCGAAGAATCCTCGGGTCAGATCAGGCTACCATGGACGACGACCAAGCATATAGCCACGTACAATGTAAGAAGACTGGAAAAGTTACTAGAAGAAGCGTTAGAATACATAAAATGGGACGCTGTGGATCTCTGTGACGTAAGACGAGAAGGAAAGGAATGTATAACCTTCAAATCGGGGCATCGATTTTTCTATATGGAAAACAAAGAAAAAATAGGAGGTATTGGATTTATAGTACATAAAAGGCACACTAAGAATATACACCAATACGAAATTGCAGCGGACCTCTTTAAATTCGGACAAAGATATGAAAGAGGTAAAATGTTTTGTGTTTATTAGCTTTTGATAATGATAATCAATTTTGTCCTTACCAAGAACAAAACATGGTTAATGATGTAACAGTGTTTAATAGCTGTTCAATGGGAAATGACCATGGAATGTTAAGAGTAGATCATACAAAATCTCTAAAAACAAAGATACAAAATAATAACCCAATATGATGGAATCCAATACTATGTCATCCGAAGAGGAAATTCTGAGAAACTTGTAGACAACTAACATAAACGATATGGATGTCAAAACAGTAACCGATAACTTAATAAAAGCTACCAAGAACGCAGGAAAAATGTCAAATATAAATCGCAGGAAAAATAATGAAGAAAAAAATCCGTTTCAGTGGAATAACACTACACTTCTATCAACCTTGTGAGCTGGATACGGAACAAATGATCATTTACAAACCATCAAGTCGTTAATTGAAAAAACCACTTAATATAAGTACCCTTTGTCTTTGATATTTGTCTTTGTCGACCTTGAAAAAACCTAGAGACTCCTTGTCTTTGATATTTGTCTTTGTCGACTTGGAAAAAAAACCTATGACAGAGTCAACCAAGTGAAATCTTTCATACTCTAACGCAATGTAGAATAAATTACCGATACAGATACTTCATCAAATAAATCTATGAACATTCAACAGGTTGCTTAAGGAGACATTTCTCCTAAATTGTTTACAACTTTGCTAGAATACGCCTCCAACACAATATATTAGAACGAGAAGGTATCAATGTTCGTGGAAAATTTTTATAATCTTAAGTTTGTAGATGAGATCATTCTAATTACGGACAGCTTTAATGGAGCGCAGATAATGCCGTGCTCCAAGAACTCCATACTGTCCCATAAAGGGTGGGTCTTAAAAATGAATTGTTCAAAAACACAATTTGACCAATTTAGTAAACAGCAAAAATATCATCATCATCATCATCATATAACGGGGGTCCTACGGCGATTGCCGCTTCCCGCATTTCAGCCTCCATCTTTTAATATCTCTCCAATCTCCCTCTTCTAAGCCCCTAGATTGAATTGTTTTTGTAATTTCTCTTCTCCAGGAATTTGGTGGTCTTCCCCTTTTCCTTCTTTCTGGCGGAACATACATTAAGGCTTTCTTTGGCCACCACTCCTCCTCCATTCTCATCACGTGACTATACCATTGTAATTGCCTTCCTTGTATTCTATCTGAGAGAGTATCTTTAATTCCTGTACGGTTTCGTATTTCCTCATTCCTGATTATTTCCATTCTCGATACTCGACATGACCTTCTAAGATAATCCATTTCCACAACGTCTACTTTATCTCGTTCATTCTTTGTCATCGTCCAACATTCAGCACCATATGTGGTAATTGGTTCTACAATTGCTCTGTATACACGAAGTTTGGTATGCATCTTTATTTTATTAGACCACAGTAATGAATTCAGTATTCGGATGCATTTTTTCCCTTGGGTTATTCGGTTTTGTACATCTATCTTAACTCTGCCATTTGCTGATATGATGCTTCCTAGATATTTATACTGGTTGCAACCTTTTATAACTGCCTTTTCAAGCCTCAGATCTGTGGTATTTCCTCCAATTTTTAAATATTCTGTTTTGCTCATGTTTACAGTAAGCCCCCATTTGGCATATTCCTCAAATAATTTTCGATTCATATAATTTATATCTTCCTCATCGGTTGCAACCACCGCCTGATCATCTGCAAACAACAATGTATATAGAGTTTCTTGTCCCACTTCGATGCCCATAAATCTACATTTATTTCTCCAATTCCTCAATGCTTCTTGGACGTATATTTTAAAGAGTGTCGGTGACAAACAGCATCCTCCCTTTAGTGACTTTAAATTCATTTGAAGTTCTGGTTCCAATTTTTACACAACTAACTGCATTTTCGTACAATTTATATATCGCTCCGATATAAGTCGAATCCAATCCGGACCTTTCGAGGACCTCAAATATTTTCTTTAACGGGACACTATCATATGCTTTCTCAAGGTCTATAAATACCAAATGGGTCTCTCTACTTCTTTCGACACGCTTTTCAATTATTTGTCGTAGGATAAATATATTATCAAGGCAGGATCTCCCGGTACGAAAGCCGCTTTGTTCTTCAATATCTTGTATCTGTCTTTCAACCCTCTTCTTTAATATTCTGCCGTACAACCGGCCCACAGAGCTCGTCACACTAATACCTCTATAATTGGAACAGTCTCTTTTATTCCCTCTCTTATATATGGAGCTTATATAAGATTTATTCAGCAAAAATATCTGAGTTAAAAAAAAGATATACGAGATAGTTGACGCCTACAAGTATTTGGGCCATGAGATCAGAATAAGTCGAGGCAATCAAGCAATCAAGCTGAAGAGGAAATAAACCTAGCTTGTGCTGCATTTAGAAAGATATTTTTCCTTACAGGTATTTAGCCTCTATACTCTAATGAAAAGAACAGTATTTAATCAGTGCATTCTGCCAGCGATGACCTATGGTGGAGAAACTCTTAACACTCAACGAACATCAGTGAATAACCAATATATTATCAAGTAGAAAGAGCAATGAAGAGAATAATGTTAAAGGTTTCTCTACGTGAGAGAATATCTGATGCTACTACGAAAAAGATCAGTGGCAGATGTTATCAAAAAAATAACAAGATTATAATAGAACTGGGCAGATATAGTAACAGCAGTTGATGATCTGTGGACAAAAAGATTTAGACCCCGAATAAAAAAGAAAGACTCAAATTGGATTCAGATACATTGGATCATAAATAATAATGATGATATATTATATTTAACACTATATACAATACAGGAATAATTCCCCAAAAGTCGTTAAAATAAGACTATAGGATTATACGTCTTATGAACCGTCCTGACAAGTTGGAGTTGGTAAATGGAGTGAACTGACAAGTTCACTCCATTTACTTCAGAACAAAATGTAACCTACCTGATTCTGCAACCAACTGTAGTACACAGCGAAACATTAGGTTTGTAGAATGATCCACATGTTCTTCTTGAGACATACTACAAAAGTTTCTAGAAGCTTGTTGGCAAGCTAATCTCAAAAAGGGTCTTCTTAGAAAATATTCACTACTAGCTTTAGTAAAAATATCTTTAAAAACAGTGCTAATAGGAAAATTATGAAAGTATTCTTTGTGATCCTGTTCCTCTTTTAATTTAAGTCTGTGATAGCAACACGGCATAATTACTAAGCTTTTGACGCGCTCCAATTGACTAAATAGATCCAAAACTGTTACGCTGAGGTCTGCACATGCGTGGAGACCAACCAAAGAGACCGACTTGGGGTCAAAATCAGTAAAAGTTTCTTTTATTAGAGATGTTATCTTCTCAGCAGATTGTGCGTCGATATAGTGATCTGCAAACTGTACTTCATTTTTGCAATGTGGGTATATCTTCTGTTGCATTTTATAGGCCTGAGCTACGTACTGCTTGGAACATTCGATGCCTAGTACTTTGTGTTTGTATTTGGAATGTAAGTGATGTGAGAGATAACCCTGCAAAGAAATAAACTATTATTTAGTTTAAGTAACTCATTTAATGTAAAATATAAGCAGCTGTTTAAAGCTGGTCTTATAAAGCCTTTTAGACTTTTTTTTAGTTTAGTTTAGTTGACATTCTAACATTAGAGTTTTGGCAATTAGTCACCCTCAAGTACTATAAAATATTAGAAGATAATACAAATTTAATTTAGAAGGACACTACTACCAACTTACTAAGGAAATCCTTAATTAAGTTGGTAGCATTTTACTTACCAAACCAGAACCAATATCTACGATCAGATCAGCTTCAACTTTTTTAGATATTTCATCGATTACTGGAGCTAATATAACTATTTCATGTCGTTTTTTGTTACTCAAACAACAGTTATGTGAAAATATGTCATCTTCGTGTTTAAAATCTTGGCTTTTCAAGTTTGGTTTTAGTTTATTAATATCATTAATAAGTTCTTGGAGACTGGGAGGTGAATTCTAAAATTTAAACCAATGAGTATTATGTGTACAAACCAATGGTGTCTACAAGATATTTTATAATGTTTGTTACCAATTGTTTCTCTATACTTATCTAATCAGTCAAAAACATTCTTCGAACCATCTTTCGTCATTCATTCTTTATTCTGGAATATTTGTATAGACCTTACTCCATCATGTTGTTTCTCCATCCATTCGGATAAAAGCCAGTTTTTACTGCATTCAGACAGCTGACAGAATTAAAGATCAAACATCTAAATATGTTATGAAAAGAGTTCAACACGGCTGTGTGCTCTTGTTGTACAAGACAGAAAAGAAGGTAGGTATAATTGCCAACGAAGTTATCATCATAATTTAATGATGATAATGACAGTTTTTCTATCAACGAATAAAGATGGTTTACAGACACTTTCAGCAGTTATAACAGACTATAGTAAACAAATGGATTCAAAAGTAAATTACAAAGAAAACCCAACGAATAGTCAAAGTAAAAAAAATGTAGCTAACAAATTAACTGTTATCAGGATAGATGGATAACCAGTGAAAATAATACAATCATACAAATATAGGTGAAGTGTGCCTATGTTGGACTCCTGTCTATGATGGTCGATGGACCCCCTGCTGTAATTTCAAATATGGCGCGGTTACATGCACATTGCAGGTTGCCGCTTGCGCACGAAATTTGTAGTTTAGTATTTGCAAAGTTTCAGACCCGTGGCGGTTATAACGGTAAATTTGTGAAATAAAATTAAAATTTAGCGTTGCTGATCTAATAATTTTTTTTTGGTAAGTAATATTTACTGGTAACATACGTTAAGCTATCATCTTAATTATTATCAAAATTTGAAACATTTGATTATTATAAAAATAACAAGACGTTATGTGGTCATTTTAAATAATTAAAATTATTATGGAGCTTTTTCTTAAGGGGTCCATCATAGGCACATTTCCTCTACATTTGTACGTGCCTAAGTCCCCTGACATTGGTGATCACCATGGCGAAACTTCCTTTCTTCTTGCTTCCCTTACCCCCGCCCATTCTTTGATATTTTTTAAGCAAGATGCTTGCTTAACAAGAATTATTGTTCGTACTTTGATTTTTCCCATCATAATAATTTAAAGGATATTAGGTATCTAAAATATCTTTAGACTTTTTTAAGATGTCCAACATATAAAATATATTCCCAACTTACCTTTAATGAATTCAACGGCAGATTATTCAGTTCATCGTTTGGCAATTGTTGAAAATACTCGCACCAATCACTCGGAAAATTTGTCAATATGTCTTTTACGAGAATATGCGTATTTGGATAATTATATAACCATTGATATTTACTTAAAAAATCTAATGCGTCTTTGAAATAATCGGCAGATGCCAAGTAGATGGACGGTAAGCTCATTTTTACTGATTATCATAATATGGTACTTAATATCGGTTAGTTACACTCCCCAAGTTACTAAAATTTAAAAATATAAATATAATTACACGAAAAAATGTTTCTCCTAATTTTAATTCTTCAATTTAATTTCTAAAACTTAGGCTGAAATAACTGTATTTGATTGATAAGAAAAGACAAGCGTTTACATGAGATATTTACACAGATTTCACGAAACCTTCTCAAAAGAACTAAAAGAAAAGAAGTCTGTAATATTTTTTCCAGCTTCAATACTTTAAGTTTACTGCTGGCGATAGAGAAAGGCAGATTGTGTGTTATATCAAATACAGAACAGATATGGCAAGTGTCGAATTACGAAAGATATTAAACATGTTTTTTAATCCTGCCCAGAACCTCTTAAAGATTACCTTGGACGAACTCAAATGTTTTTGGGTATTTTGATTGTGTCTAGATACAACTATCTTCCTGGAATGACAATGGAGCAGATATTTCCAATAAAATGGTGAAGGATGCAATACGTCGCGACAGGTTTATCAATATAATGCGTTTCATGTACTATGCTGACAATACGCAAATGGATTGAAATGATAAAATGTGGAAATTGAGACTAGAAATAAAAAAATTACAGAGTTATTTTCTAAAATATTATCAACCAATTGAAAATATGAATTATGATGAGTCGATGGTGAAATATTATGGTCGCCATAATTGTAAACAATTCATTAGGCGAACACCGATAAGATTCGGTTATAAAGTATGGTGCCTTAACTCCGAAACTAGTTACTTTATAAATGTTGATCTATAAAGGGAAATGTACAAATTCGAACGATTTTTACCAACTTGCATTTGGAAAGGCAGCCGCTCCCCTTTTCTCGATCTTTGACACTTAATAACAAAAGCTGCCTTACCAAATCTATGTAGATAACTTTGTTACTGGATTCAATTTAATGGTGTATTTAAAAGAAAAAGAAATGGTGTCACAGGAACAATAAGAGAGCACAGAATATCACCAGATGTTCCACTTGTCGATAAAAAAAATATGTCCAAACAAACTCGAGGTTATTTGGTTTCAAAAATTTACGAAAAAGATGGTATTATGTTGACAAGATGGATAGATAACTCCGTCGTAACAATGGCATCAACTTCATATGGTGTGCATCCTATTGAACAAGTGAAACATTATTCACATTCTGAAAAAAAGTTGTCGCCCACATGTTGGAATGTATAACAAGTTTATGGTAGGCACTGATAGAATGGATGACGATTTATAGGTCTATACTTATATGGTTAATTGATGCTGCAGTGCAAAATTCGTGGGTACTTTATAAGTGTTCAGGAAGACCGACAACTAATTTGAATTTTCGACGTGAAATCGCAACTACTTACCTTACCAAATTCATTTCCTTTCCATTAGACCTGTAGCAAAATAGTCTATCTTTTAACAGAATCTCTGACATTAGGTACGATGGTATAGTCTGTACCAAACCCTTCTTTCAGTGAGTCACTAATTTTGACGTCATATAAGATTTTAAGAATGTCGAGAATTATTGCATGACATTTTAGTTAAATCTGACAGTTGCAGGATCGTAATCGACTAAATGTGAAAAGGTTTTTTTTAATATATAAATAACATAACTTTAACAACAATTCAAATGTTTTTTGACATTTACATATTAGAGGTCCCGTCCTGTATATGAATTTTTATTGCGCATTATATTGGAACGGCAGTTTGTCATATATCCTATTCTCTACATTCCAAGGAAAGGGTTTTATTAGCTAAGATTTATTTATGGATTTATTATTATTTATTACAAACACTATGGATTTGGAATATTTGTTTATTCAAAATAACGCTTGCGCCTAGAATCTTTTAAGAATCGACTGCAAGATAAAAAATTTGACTGGCAATTGCAAGGCATTAAGGCAAACATTCCTGTGATAAAATAGCATTGATTGAAATCATTCATATTCGGATGTTATTTTACGATAAGTTTCTGTGGCAGCCAATAGTTTAATTTGGTGAAGATTTATCATTAAATAATGGAAATAGTTTTAATAGTTCTAATATACACGAGTTCTAATAACATGTTCATATTTATTGGTTAATGAAGGTCGGTCCTAGATTATCACATACTGAAGTACTCATTGTCACAGAATCTGTTTGAATCCCTTCATTTGGACCAATCGTCTTACTGTTGGTAACGAAACTCTTAACGCCTCGGCAACACGCTAAAATGTATAGCATTTAGAATACTAATATTTTTTAGGATAATTTAAAACTTACTTCACGAACGACAGAAACTGGTAATAAAGTTGTCCCAGCCTCTTTTTCTAATTGAAAACAATTTTGTAATTTTATTATTAGTTTTTGTTCTTTCTCGGTATATCTCGACATATTTAAAATATTGTTATGACAATAAATACAATATTAAATTTTTACTGTAAAATATCTGAAAATACTAACCTGGAATAACAATTATCATTGTATCAGTTGACATTGTGAAATTACTGTCACGATCGAGACTATCTGCATCAAATTTATGCGCATCATTGATTGGATATCTATTTAGCGTATTCTAAACTTCAACAAATTATACATCCGTAAGTAGAATTCGCTTTAATATGCAAATACCCGTGAACGATACATAATTTTTAAGTTCTATGTATAATAATCACAGACTTACGTTTTTTCTGTCACTTCTAGCTTAATGCGTTAGAGAGAATTCGATCAAATATGACGCACTGAAAGAAGGGTTTGGGACTGACTGTATTAACCATCTCATTATACCTGTTCCTAACAAAAATCGAAGGCGATGCGCAGGAGAAGGCTGCTGCTCAGTAGCACGTACGCAGTGTGAGAAATGCGATATTTTACTCTGTATTGACTGCTTTGCAAGTACTATATGTTTATAGTATTTTGACCTAGTGTTACCATATGGTCACAGTTTGTAATGCCATATATTCGATAAACAAATAAAATTTAATAGGTTTTTCTGCTTATTTGTTTCCTAAACTAAACTTGCTAAAAAACCACTAGTTTAACAAAAAAATTAATACAGGCTTTGATTTGTTAAGCTAAAATCAAATCACACTTTTTATAACATTGTTTCTATTCAAAAACAGAGTACGTATGTACAGCTTTTACCCAATATACAGTACTAGTTTGTTTATATATTTATTTAGTGTGTTTATCGTTTCTTAAATTATTAGTAATAAATATCTGTTTATAATATCTACTTATAATATAAAAAATTTAATTTTATAAGTATGTATGTAATAATTGTAACTATTCCTTTGACTTGTTAAAAACAAAACTATTCTTGTATATTGACTAAATAAATTATATTATATTCTATCTAAATTTGATCAGGGAAAAATAATAACTGGTATGCATATTGTAACGAAAAATATATTTATAATAAAAACAGTCTTAATATATTTGAAACAATACAAACAAGGTAGAATAATTTAAAATTCACAGATTACTTTCAACCACGGTCCACATTTCGTCTTTTCTTTTACTAACATCCATTTGTTCGGTTTTCGGTCCGAGTACAACCTTTCCCGTCTGTAACATATTGCCTGGACCCAAATATTTCTCAGCTACCTCTGTCAGATCGTTCTTGCCAACGCTCAACAATTCCGCCCTGTATCGCTGTTTAATATCTGTTGTTAGTCCTTTTAAGAATTCTTCATTTCCTTTCGAACTTTGAGGTATTGGAGTATCAACAGATTGAAAAACGCCCAATTTCGCTTCGAATATGTCCTGTGGAGTGATTTTATCTATTTCAGATCGTATCCAGTTGTAGGAGTTATCAAAAACATCTAGCGTATCTAAATTTCGAGGATCTCTATAACTGTAGAAAGTAAATACTCCGTCAGACATCACTCTCGCACCCCCTCCATATGCTCCTTGTTTTTCCCTGAGTTCTGGATGTAAATACTTAGATGACAGCAATCGACTTAAGATCTTTAATTTCGCGTAATCCGCATGTGTAAACGGGACTGTGAGTACAGCTTTACTACAGTAATTGACGGGTAGGTTGAGGACATGGTGCTGACAATTGACAGCTTCAGTCGGACTCCACACATCACCAACCACGAATGTATCATCGGACTGTAAATGCGTTGCTGTTGCTTGTGGAAGAGTGGCAATGAAGTTTTCGTAAGTACGAATAATATCTCTTTGATTGTCTGGCGCCAAATTCAGTGCAACCCTAAAAAAATATATGATGTTAATTAATTTAAGTATTATAGCAAATTTAATTACGTATCAAAATGTAATATTTGAACTTAAAAACATTACGATACAGGCTGATATTCAAATACAAAAGAAACTATAAGAACTAGAGGAACCAAATTATTTAAAGTGAAATTTACGATTCAGTAAAACACAGAAGTTTTTATAAGAAATTGGAGCTGACAAGTTAAAATATCAAAAGATAATAAAATGATTGGAATAATACGTGAAAGTAGTACGATTTTCCAATTAACGAAAGTTAGGTAGAGGAAAAGAGTGAACAATTTTGTATTTCAAAAACATTGGTAATAATTTGAAAAAGTAACCTTTTTTGTTTATATATTTATTCTTAACTCCAAACCCATTGGAAAGCATTGGATCCCTTTAATGCATAAAAACAAAAGGCTCGTACCGACAGACCGATTAACCAGTCTGTAAATGCAAAATTTCAGGAGTAGTTTAAATTAGAATTTGTTGCAAAAGTTAAAAAAACATTTAAAAAGTGCCAATCAAAACAGCTATAGTGTTAGATAATACACCAACAACCAATAAAATGTGAGGAAACCCCGACAGAAAGAAGGCCCTTAGAACATCCACGAATGGACGATGGAGAGACAATATATGGTTAGATCTAAGAACAATAGGGCTACCCACTGACCCAACGATTATGAACGACCGTTCAAGATGGAAGCAAGTTGTGCAGTCAGCCAAGACCCACCCCGGGTTGTAGTGCTGCGAGAAGAAAAAGAAGAATACACCAACACATCATCATGACTGCGATATAGATGACACAAAATTAGTTTTTCTTCCTCCTAATATAACGAGTTTAGTGCCATCGATGGACCAAACGTTATCCAAAGCTTATAGATATAAAATTGTCTCTTAAATTCTGCATTATTCAAAGAGTAAAGTCAAATGTCTTTTAGAAGTCATCAAAAAGATCAATATCAAGGATATTCTAGCTACAGCGTTTCAAGACATTCCCTCTTCAACGTTTGTTAATCTTGGAAAAAACTTTGGTCAGATGTTAAGAATTTAGTTGCAATCTTGAATAATGGACAAACTGAAGAAGAGAATAAAATATGTACAAACTAGTGTAGTCATTTTATCTTTAGGCTTATCCTCAAAACTATCTTCGTGTGCTCTTGCTTTTTTGATAAGATCAGCAAAAGATGATGATCTAATATCGTCGGCAAACCTTTAACTGAATTTTCATCTGAAATGTTAACACAGTCTATAAAAATCGTTACGGCGCTTATAAATGCTTTGACATCTTCAAGTTGCTAGGAATTCAATTTTGAAATTACTATCATTATAGGAGCACGTGGAACAGCAGCCGTTGTTTTGCAGGGTTGCAAATGATTTGCCAGAGTAAAAAAGTTGATTCTGAGCTAAATTCTGAAATTTCTGTGAACTTTGAAGCACTTCTGAGTTTATACTTGATCATTAGACGATATCCAAATCACGGGAGAGTCAAAACTAATATTTATACAGCACAAATAATCCAAAATATTGTAATAGTAGCACAATACGGCAGTTTAAAAGGATATTCAATTGCAAAGAGTATACACACTCTTGAATCTGATCAGTGTAAGTTATGCACTTAAATTAATAAAACAACAATCTCACAAAGTTTGAGAGTTCTTTTCCTTCGTACAAAAGGTACTGATTCTTGCGATGAGAAGGTCCGACGTTGGGCAGCCACTTGTAAGATTGATAAACTAAGAAAAAGTCTATTTCAATTAAAATACATTTGGGTGAGATCTGTATAACAAGCGAGTCTTCTACAGCAGGCGCCGCTTCTCGCATCCTAATTTCCAGCGTTTTCTATCGAAGCAATCTTCAGTTGTTAGACCTCTGGCGGTCATTGCATCGTCGACATCGTCTCTCCAGGATCGTCTTGGTCTACCTCGTTTTCTTCTAGTTGGCGGAGTCCATTCTTCTATTTTTTTTTGGCCATCTATTTTCCGGCATTCTCTGAAGGTGTCCATACCAGTTAAGTCTTTTGGCTTCGATTGTGTCTATTATGTCTAGATCGATTTCCATTTCTCTCCGAATATCTTCGTTTCTCACCCTATCAAGTCTAGTGAGCTGGCAACATCGTCTCCAGTAGTTCATTTCCATGGCCTTAATTTTTGATTTGTTTCTTTGGTTTATTTCCCAGAGTTCGGCGCCATACAGTCCAATACTTTCTATTATTGTTTTATAAATTCTTCTTTTGTTTTCTTTTGTTATTTTTTTATTCCATAATAGTCTGTGTAGCTGTCTGGTGG